ATGGTCTAATACTATGTGGGACCTTTGTTTCGACATGTTTGGGCCAACCGGTCTTACCCAAATCCCAGCTAATTTGGAGAACCATGACAACCATCCTCCTATGAATCCAGATAGATGTGGCTGAAATATTTTTTTCCTCACACTTCGACCCGCACTTCGACCCATGAAAATTGCTACTCTCAGGGAATCAAATGTGGGAATGGGCAATTTCCTCACAATGTGAGGCCCCCCAGTTATAAGTTGGTTTATAAGCCCCAGTAACTATAGTTATTTGCGTACCATAAACCATAGTTATTGAAGTCATAAACCAACTGAACGCTATCTTGGGGGCCTCACATTGCATGATTTTCATGATTTTCTGAGCTATTGACCTCCATGTGTGGGGACATGTCCCAGCCACGTCTGAAAAGGCGCATGGTAAGATTCCTGAAAAAGGGTCGTCATTGGGATTTTGAATGTCTGACCTCGGGCTCCAAACAAGCCACATGGATGCGTCTGAAAATGGGCCACCTCCAAATTTCATGGTAGATAATGGGGATTTGATGAGATACTATGATATAATATGGCTATGGAAGATAGTCTGGACCTGGACATTTAGTGAGACGCCTCCAAATTTGATGATGTTGATCGTTGATCATGACCCTCCCCAATGTGGGTAAAACAATGGCACAAACCATCCCCCAGTCCTCACCATAAATAGGTGGTATGGTTACCATTCCCACTTTTGGGCTATGACATTGTTTTACCCACATTAGTTACAATTTAGGGCACATTAATGGGGATATCATTAATACACCATGCTCAAACACACCCGCATCTGCGCCACAGCCAAACAAAAACAGCATCATGTTTGTTGGACCCTGAAGCCATTCTTTGTCTTGACAAATGCCCTGCCTTTGTGACGAGGGCTGCCAAGATTGACGCCATGTCCATATGTCACGTCGCATCATAGCCATCACAGCCATGTTTCTCGGATTCGGTTGCTGCGATCGAATCACAGTCGGCCGTTCGGCCGCTGGGCCGCGATAGCAGTGGCAGAGCCACCGAGCCTCTTCTCGGACCGGGTCTTGGACCGTCGCCGGGAGAAAGGTTCGGGGCGGAGAAAGGTCCGCAGTTGAGGAGATGTTGGTAAGTTGTGGATAGTTCCTTGATGGAATTTGCGTAACACGCAAGGACTAACAGCCTGTCAACCTTAGAAGAATCTCCCATCTGGTGCTGCAAAGCCTTCCCGCAAGAAGGTGAGCTTGGGAAGATCAAGCAAACAAGGGGGCGCCACACGAATCATGACAATTTTCTGGGTTCAACCATTCAAGTACTTAACTGCTCATTTGGAGAATACATATCAACTCAAGATGGTGTACCCCAAATAGATCCAAATAGAATAGAACAAATATTAATCACCATTTTTGAACGGGCCAATCCAGCGCCAGAACTTCATCATCATGAAAATCGACCAAACAGAACATCAGAACAGGGTTCATCATGTTCCTGTCATTCTTTCATGCTCCAGGACCTATTGTTTCCAGGACTTCTCGCAGTAACTGCGATGACCTTTCCAAGGACGAACAATCTACATCTGAATTATTGGAATTATTGCAGCGATACCTGCGGTCCCCCAAGGGGCAATCCAACTTTGGCGACACGTGTTTGTTTATAATTCGACGTCGACCAGCTCAAGCACAATCCTCCGATAACAACATGAAACTCTATCAATAAATGTAGGACTTTGTGCCCAAACTCTTTGACCATACATACTACTTGATTGTTTCAGCGTAATTGTGTGACATGTATAGGTGACACCGGTGACATTTGGGTCACAGTCTCAAAATGGTCGAACTGCCCAGGGCGGTTCATGGTTGATGATTTGTCACTCCCAATCTGAGATACCCAATGTTCAACACTGAGTATAGTATAGTATATATATACACAGTATATATATATATATATTATAATATATATATATATTATATAACACATATATGGGTTTCCCAAAATGATGGTACCACCAAATCATATAGACAATTTTTGTATTGAAAGCCATGGTCACTTTGGGATCACCCATTTTATGGTCTACCCCGGAGGGTCTTGTCCAAGATGAATCCACCTTCCAAGATGCCTAAGGTTTCCAGCAGGGCATTTCTTCTCCTCTGCTCAATGAATTCCTGGGTGCGAAAAAAACCCTCATACAATACTCAAATAACCATCCCTCAACATATGTTGTTAACAGAAAAACTTCCAAGCAAGAAAATCTAAAATAGTGGATCCGACCGTTTTCAGCTCACGACACTTTCAACTGGGGTTGGTCTGAAAATGAGAAACCCATGATTCAATCAGCAACATTCGGGTCAGTTCTCACTTTTGACCGCATGAAGTTTTGAGCCTTCATTTCGCCTTTCAAGAGCGCCCTTTTGCCACATCAAAACATGCTCCAGAAAATGACTGATGTCCTTGTTTTAGGAAACTACTGGGAAAAAAATGTCCTGATGTCTGACCTATGCAAATCCAGCATTATAGTCATTCTAACAATTCTAACACCACTACAGAAAACCACCCCGCCACAAACAATAATGGTATAATTTTCCTGGCTTTTGACAGTATATGTTCGAATGAATCCGCCCCCCACGAACAGAGTGTCAAAGTTATTTTCCTGTTGCCGGGCATTTATACATCAAAGGGGGAAACAAATAAACTAAGATCGATTTCCTGGGTTCTACGGCTTTAAGGGATGTATGGATGCACAATATGCAAATCCGTGAAATCAAATTTAATTATGACTGGCTGGTGGTTTCAATCCCTCTGAAAAATGATGGAGTTCGTCAGTTGGGATCTGTTTCTTCCCAATATATGGAAAGTTGAAAGTCATAAAATTCCATGGTTCCAAACCACCAACCAGATGAATCATAGTACTCCCATAATAAGCCCATAATAATGGCTATTTAATAATCCCATATAATGATATAATATATATATATATGGGTAAATTATAATATTTCACTAACCTGAATTAAGGCCAATTTGGGATGATTTCCCTTATGAACCATGATTTCCAGTGAGGTCGCAGTGAGGTCGTTATAATTTACCCAGATATATATATATATATCATATAATATATAATGAATTTTGCTCGTATATTAACACCCCCCCCTCCAGTTGGTTTCCAGCATCGCAGGTCGTTGCATCACGTTTTTTCCTGGTGATTGAATTTGGTCCAAGAAGAACCCCCAATCTGAAGCAGCGAATGTGGTTTTCTTCAATACAATAACTGATTGGTGGTATACCTACCCCTCTGAAAAATATGAAAGTCAGTTGGGATGATTATTCCCAATATATGGAAAAATAAAAAATGTTCCAAACCACCAACCAGATAACTGCTGGGTCTATGTGGGATATATCGAACTAGTTGAATGGGGTAATAACATTTTTTAAAACCCAACAACTGAACCGGGGGGTCCCGTTGCAATCCTCCCAATCATCAGAGGTGTCGGGACATCAGGGGCATCCCAAGAGTGGTGTTTAAAGTTTAAATATGCCAGAAATTGAAGGACATAAAATTGCTGAGGACATAGTCATACTGGTCATACTTGGATGTGCATCCCACTTAGTATCCGTGGTTTATAATCCATATACAACCCATGCAGTGTAATCCCATATTGAGTGGGGATCTACCAAATATATATATATATATACATATATAGATATATATATATATATATAAGTGCGGGGTATAACCCATTTACGAAGTGGGACCTGCACCTGCACCCCCAAGTTGTAGCTCAACTTCGAGTGAATCCAATTAGGCTAGTGGAATAGTGCTACAAATTGGGGAAAGATCCATGCAATTTCCCTCGGTATAATTTTCGGGTGATGGACAGTGTGTCATTGCAGGGTTCTTCCGCTGTTAACACCAGAGTGGTGGCTTGGGAAAGCCTTTCATTGGCGGAGGCATGCCTGACTCCTCCACTTGTCTTGAAAATGTGGTTTGTTGGTTGCTTCATTGGCAGAAATCTAATATGTAGCAATCTAGCTTTTAACAATGACTCAATGACTGAGATGTGCAGAATCACAATCTAAAAGCCACCAATCACCTCATGGAAAACATCTATGATCTTTTGAGATCTGAGTTGAGACTTTCCTCAGGTCCTCCGCCTTTGCAGCAAGTGCCACAAAAACTTCGCAGCGCCAGAGAGTGGATATGTCTGGACGAGGACTAAGCTCCTGTGTTATCAATGTACTAATAGATATTCAAGATTGATATGTCTGGGTAAGTTGCAAAACTGCTTCCAAATCAACCAAATACCAGAGAAACCGGTGTTTGTGCTGGGCATTTTTTTTTCCAGGTATCTTTCAGATTTCCCATAATTCCATAGCAGAAACATGACCATTGACCAATGAAGCTACCAGTCGCATTGGTTTTCACCACATCTCCACGCTCCGTTTCAAACGCCCAGTCCCGCACTGGTGAGGGCATCGTCTGGAGTCCTTTTGGACTCACGCTTCATTCTTGTAAGATGAACATTCAAACATTTCATCCAACCTGGCGCTGGGTTTTTCGTGAAGGTGCATCAATGGACAGTAATCCGGGTTGCTACATTTAAGAATTCAGGAACCAGTGATAGGGTGCTACATAACCCAGCTAAAGTCATTAATGAATAAATTGTGGAGAGTACCTGGATCCAGCTACTTGCTTTAGGCCGGCTGTGTTGCGTCCATGGCAGATCCTGATCCTACACTGGCTAATCTCAGTAATATTACATACCGTTCGAGAATCGCATATTTGTTTTATTGGATACAGTTGAATGCAATTGATGTGTTTCTCCTTCGTCAAATTGGCAAATTAGAGATACCCTCCGGTAATCAAACATGGCAATAGAACATCGCCGACTTGTAGATGTTCTTCCCATTGACACCATTTGACACCTGAATTTATGAGGATTTGCCAACCATGTTTGATTCCAACAGGCGCACGCTTCCAGGGGTGGCAAAAAACAGTCTCCCAAATTTCATGCCAAATATTTCGTTGTTCCCATAGCGGAGCACCTTTGTAGCGTCATCACCAAGATCCTCGCGTCACGGTCTCCGGCACCATAGCTGATGGCCACCGTGTCCCCATGCACCTTAGCTGGAGAAAAATCCATTAGATCTGGCGAAAATCAGTAAAGTTGTGATATATCCAGATAAGATCCAATGATAATGATAGATAAGTTACACTAATTACACGCTATGAAATGCTAGTAACCATGTCTAGGAATAGTAGTAAGAATTGTTATGAATTGTTCAATGACATCCTTTATGTATGAATGTATGTATGTGTATATATATATAAAGAAAGAACATTTATATTATGTCATGGATATGATATAACCAAATAGAACCATAAATAATCAGCTATAAGTTATAACCACTATCTATCAAAACATGATATACCACCGACTTATGTGTTTCATGTCCTAACTAATATATATATATATATGTTATGTATGTGTATGTACATATATATATATAGGTTTCCCAATGAAACATGGGTGCGGTACTTGGGGGTTGCAGTTGGGGTTCTTAATATGGGTTGGGGTATAGCTGTAGACATTTAGAACCTCAGATCTGCTACTATGGGCCACCGCACTGCCAGACCACTGGCAAAGGCAAAGGGAATACCACCTGGCAAGGTGGGCGGTGGTATTGAACAAAACAATGGGGATTTACCCTGGGGTAAGGATGACTGTTACATATTGGTATCATATATCACCATGAATTATATTATGTAACAATGATTAACATATGTAACAATATGTTTACCCTGCAACGATGTGGAAAATCAACCATGAATGTAGATTATTTTCCTAGTAATCGTTCACCCTAGGGGAACTAACAAGAATTGGATTGCCATGTGCAAACAATGTTATATGCTTAAGATCAACATCAAATCTGTTATATATTGTGTTCAAAAAGTGGACAACAATTGGGGGTTCAAAATTCACAAACATGGGGTTGAGCCAATTAGTGACATATTAGTTGGGAATGTAATGGGTTGTACGACCAACGGTATGTATAGGGTAGCCCCAAATCCACGTGCTGATAATCACTGTGCCGATTAAAGCACCGATTTGGGGGCATGCCGGATTTCAGTCACACCCATGTATAACATGTCAATAAATAGCAGTGGCCTATAGTTATGTATCAAGTCAAGATCGATTAACACTGACTCATCCCTATCTATGTAATCACATGTATACATAAACATGTAGACAATATTAAATTATCTTATGTTATATCATATATTATGTATACATATATATATATATAATATTAAGTATATAAACTACTGTACTATATATATATATATATATGTATACATATATTTCATTGTCATACTCAATACTATATATATAACATATTTATCGTAGATTAATCATGGATTTATAGTTGTCCACATATTTATCATATATAAACAATATGTGGATAAATGATAGATAAGAAGCTGGATTATGAAGTTTTTTTTTTATATATATATATATATATTTAATCGTATATTGATTATACGGAAATATATTTATCATATTTTCTATATAGTTTTCCACATATACGGATACGTCATCATATATCACTCAATTCTCACTTCCTGGAGCTTTGTGCCTTTAGGATCATGAAGCTGGACGAATAGAGTCCCTACTATCGGATTTGGTGACAAAAACACGGGTGTTATCCCAAGCACAATGGGGATTTAACATATAAAAACGAAAAGGGATCCAAGAACTGACACTAAGGATCTAAGGGATATACCGATATACCATCCGGAAATCAGACATGGCTAGCTTGAACATCTATCAGCTACTGTATAGATGAATTTCCCAAGAAACCTCCATTCACAGGGGATTTCCCACTGCTACTTACCTCTAGTAGGATTTTGCTTGTCTATCTGCTTGGTGGTTGCTATATTGCATATCAACAGCAAATATATAATACTTGCTCAAAATTAAATAGGATATTCATTAGCACACACAGGGTTCAATGGAACCTGGAGATGTTTCATGTTGCTTGATAAACGCACGAGGCCCAACGCAATGAAGGGTGCCTGGTGTGGCTGCTGCTTCACTCAATGGCAGTCGCTCCGACATCTGCAACATCAGGAAGGGAGGCTCCGCTCCGAATCGGTACCTAGGAGATATAACCGGTCCAGGAATGGTCGTTTAAAAAAGCAGGGGAGCAACCCGAACAGCCCAGGTACAAAAAGGGAAATTTGATAAACATAGAGGTAAATCAGGTAAATCTATCAATTTCCCGCCTGCCTTGCGACTATCATTTACCTATATTAGGTTGGAGCGACCTTGTCAAAAGTGTAGAAAAAACATCAAGAGCCTATAAAACCATGGGTTGATTCCTATAGATTTCTATGTTGGTCATATGTGGTTGTGGTAGATAGACACTGTTTGCATATCATGACTTCCAGGTTTATAACTTGGATTGTCCTCCCGCTTCTGACGACAGGGGATCATTGGGTACCCTTAAATCCACAGCTTCATCACAGTTTGTCCTACTAAAAAAATGCCCCTTTCTTCAGACACACCCATATCATGCCAGTGGTTATATACATTATTCTATCATATTCTATCCCCATTATATCCTATCATATTCTATCCCCATTATATCTCCATTAAATCACTATATCCCATGGTTGATCCCAAATATTTTCAGACAACCCCATTGGAAAAATCAATCCCGTGTCAAATCCTTCCAGTGAAATGCCCTCAATAATTCCTGGCCCCTGAATTGTTTAAGTAACCATGCAAGGGGAAATCCCTATAAATGGAGGTTCTAATGGGAAAACCATATATATATATATATAATAAATGGGTGGAACAAATACATTGCCACGTTTGAAAATCCAGAGGGTATATCCCTATGTTTAATTTCTTAGATCCCTTTTTCTATGGTGAAATCCCCATCCGCGGTGGGTTGCACCCAGCTTATGGCAACCCAACAAGATAGAAAAGGTGAACATCAGCCCTATTCTAGGACTGGATTTTACTGTCGCCAGCTTTTCTATGTCTTGGGTGGTCCTGATTTTTGGCTTTATCTGAAAATAGGTTGTCTATACCATGATGTACCCAACGATGGACTGGCCCCGTTGGCTTTGAATTCAACCCAGCCCCCGCTCTCAGCTTCTGACGCATGATGAGCATAACCTTAGGGGCGGCTTGTGATTGATTCAAGGGAACATGTACAGGAAAGCAGAAGGGTTTTGTTTGCTTTTTACCATGTTTTACCACCAATTCTCTGGGGTTGCAAATTTTCCTGTATCATCAACATTTGAGTTTTTCTTTGTAGATTCTGTGAAACATATTGCTTTACCCTCAGAAGAAATATAGTCACGTCCTGGAAGTATATGGATAGAGCATCTCTAGTAGTTTCTAGTTGTTACGGACTATTTGTTGACATTGTTGTTGATTTATATCTTTGGCATCTGCAATTTCATAGTCAACTTGCTGGTAATTATCATTGACAGCTGGTGTTGATTTGTATCTCCAGCTGTTGGTTGATATAGTTGTTAGTTGAGAACTATATTCTATTATTGATTGATGAGTAACAATTTAAGATTTGAAAACACTATAATCGTATGCTCCAGTTGTTTGTGGACTAGTATTTGAATCTCCAGATCGTTGATTGGATTGGAATTGGCGCGAACATTTGCGGCACAATCCCTTTTCACCCGGGACCAGGTGGGATTTACGAATGGTCATCCCCTTTCCATAGTCATGGGGGTATCCCAAGCTCGCTGGATGGATTTTGTCATGGAAAATCCTTTTCTAAAATGCATGATGACTGGGGGTACCCCCATTTCAGGAAACCTCCATATGAATCCATATGATCATTGATCTCTCCGCACACGACAATAATCATCCATGCTTGATTGATGAGTTTCCTGTATTGCCCCTCCAGAGTACTCCAAGGCTGGGACAGCCGAAGCAGTCTGCCAAACGTCAGCTAACATGTTTTACAAAATGTTTGGCATTGATTTTCTCTACATCCTTTGTAACTAGAATCGAAAGCCTGTGGCAAAAGGAACTTTGAAACTTAGTACTCTAGGACAATGACCCTCTATAGTTGGGATCTCGCATAGGAAATTTATAGATGTAGTTTCCTTCCAAAACAGAAAGCTGGCTGGAAAAAAAACGAATTGTTGATCCAAGAAACGCCTCCTAAAAAAGGTAAGCTGCTTTAGGCATCACTAGGCGAACTATGGGATTTAGGCCAAAGATATATCTTTTTCCAAGATCTGGCAATTCACCACATTAGGATTACACGCTGAGCAAAATTTGCCAGTCTTTCATAGTTTTGATGATTTGACGTATTTGGGTATTGGTTTGACATTTCGGGATTTCGGGATCATAATTTATAATTTGGCAGTTTTGAGGCAATTTCAATCACTCATGACCGCATTTGAGTCGGGCTTGCTTGGCCAGACTGTCATGGATATTCCAAAGAATTGTATCACTACCTCTGGCAGTCAAACATAGCAATGGGAAATTCCTGATTAAATGAATATTTTAAAAGGAAAATGATGTATAATGGGGGATTTTCAATTGCCATATTTGATTACCAAAGGGTATAATCAGTCGGAATTGCTCTATATATAGTTGCGATCTTGTTTTGCGTTTTCTATACCGACGGACTGAAAGTTAGAATGCCGGCGCAATTTTTTTTGGATTTTTCGGGTTAGAATGTCGTGACCATACCAAAATTCTACCTTCCAGCCCGTACTATGATGGTAAATGTGGAAAAATATGTTAAAAACTGCTTGATCAAATGTTGATCAAATTTGCCTGTAAAAATGTTGGTTACACTTGATGCAAGGTTAGAATGCATTTTGAACAATCCTTCATAGAATGTAAATAAACAATCACTTGATGTAAGGTTAGAATGCATATGGAACCTTCCTTGAATATAGAAAACGGCATTATACACACATGTATGCACTGTATATATTACATATATGTACATATACATACTGAGTAAACGAGGTGTTCTTGGATCGGCGTATGACGATATTGCATTTTTTCTGCATATTCTGTCAATTTTTATTGATCATGGGTATTTTTTTGCTGATCATGAGAATGTATTCTTTCAAATTACCTGCATATTCTGCATATTTACAATATGATGTTGCATTTTTTCTGCATATTCTGACATTGTTTATTATTGATCATGGGTAGATGTTTTGCAATTTACATGCATATACATGGAAAACAGTCGAAAAATCGGGATAGAATGCCATGCCGCATCAAGAATTTTGGAGTTTTGGGGGTTTCAGGACTAAATAAGTAGGCTTAGAATGCCCCTCCGGGTTAGAATGCCGGACATCCATGTAAAATTTCCAAAACGGCATTCTAATTTTCTGTCCGGCGGTATAACTACTCTAAGTTTGCTTCAACCATGTTCAGCACATCTTGGTAAAGTAGAATCAATTCCAAATCTGAAATAAGCCGTTTTGGCGTAGTTTTGGGATTATATAATGTTGTTCCCTTGCTCCAGTCAATTCAGATAGACATAGACGTGGAGAATCGACACATATCCTTCGCAAACCATGGGCCTACAACATCTCTAGTGTTTTTTTCGGAGGTCCCCGTTATGTGTACAGCTAAAGCGCTTCACCCATCGAACTTCTGCAGTCCGACATATCCTTAAAAGGAACACCAAATGACCTGATCACACCACGAAGATTCCAAGGTTAGTTTGCTTCGGGATAACCCTGCTAGCCTAATGATGGGGATTACTGTAAGTCAACCCGTCCCTTTCGGTGACGCCCCGGTGTTTGAGCTCCGCCCCTAGGCCCTGGAAGACCGCCTAACTCAATTCTGACTGTGGGTTGCATTCCGATGGTCCCCAATAGCCTCCCCAATGTTTCATGTCGTTTCTTTTAACATGACTTAACTCTGACAGCTGACACTGACAACAGACTTTATAAAATCCCTAAACCAGGAATCATAGCGGCCCCTGTTGAACTTCCTTTTTGATGCTTGAATCCCGTATTAATATCTCTATGGTGCCCCGAAAACATATCGCCAGGTCACGCCCAGTTTTCGTGTCGTAGAGGTGCAGCAAGGCCAAGAAATGCGGCCGTGGCAGGCTTGGAGTCGCCTGAATCTCTGGGTGAAAGTTTGGAGTGATGACAACAGTTTCGAGGTGGTGCCCCAGCTAAGTTGGTTTAGTATACTCCAATTTCACTAGGGTTTCTGGTAGAGATATATATCTAATTATGTATATATATATATAAATAGTTAAGGGGGGAGCACCACCCTGTGGGTGCGCTTAGATCGAGCTTTTATCCCAAGATATGGCTATAATTTGAGTAAACAAAAATGGTGATTCATCAGTGAAATTAGGGGAAAACCAGTTTCAAACAAAGTCAGGAGTCGGAACTTAAACACTCAGAATGGAGGCATATCATATTAAGCCACAGTACCGAATCATCAGGTCCAGACTGATTTTCCATCATGTTTTTTTTCAGCAAGCAAAAAAGGCAATGAAACAAACAGGGCCCCAAATCACCAGATTATCTGGCTATATCCATCCAAATTCAATCTCAGTGGGATGGTATCCTCTTCCACTGACGGCTAAAAAACATTAAGCTACCAAACTCACTTTACCTGGGATCAGCTTTTTGAACACCCTAAATTGGTGGATCAACACACATGGGGGTTTATTCACTCAAGTATCTGCAACCACCACACCACAATGGTTTGGTCAGTGCATCATATTCTTTCACATCGGCAAGACCAAAAAGGGATACAAATAATGATCCGACAACATATACATGCGTTTGTATACACATATATTATATAAATTATTTAGTATTACAAAATGCACAGTATGTGAACATTAATATTATGTTCTCTATATATATATGTATGTATGTACGAGTATATTGTATATAAATATATATACATACTAATATATCATATGTGTATGTGTCATCATATACATATAAATCATTATGGATCTTATTATGACAAACAAAAAGTACATCATATGACCGCCTGTGAGTTGTTCACGAAGACAGCCTGTGCTGATCCCCTGATCCTGGCGAGGCAGGTAAAAAGAATGTACCCGGCCTCCGAAAACCATAGGAAAACCATAGGAAAACCATAGGAAAATGGTGATTTAATGATGGTTTATGGTGGTTTAATGGAATTTAATGGGATCTACCCTCTGGTAAACATACAAAAAACTATGGAATCAGCATTTTCCAGCTGGGTAAATCCACTATTTCTATGGCCATTTTCAATAGTCATTTTGACATCACCAGGCCGGGTACCCTCCAGTCATCAGCTCCGTGGATCCTTCATTTACTTCGATGACGAACTGTGGCCATGTTTGAGAGGCATGACTTACGGTATCTATAACTACCCTCTGGTAAACATACAAAAAGCTATTGAAAATGGCCATTTATAGTGGATTTTCCCATTAATAGCATGGTCATTTTCCATAGTTATGTTAGTTTACCAAAGGGTATTGTGCAAGTTGTAGGAATCAACATACCAGATCACTTTCTATTCTAGAAAAGGGGAGTATTGACATGCATCACCCACCCGTTAGATCCAGGAATATGGACTTGGTGCATCATCATTTTCCTTAGTCGAAAGGCCATTTTGGGATGTACTCAATTCTAAGACAAACCATAAGAAAAACGTATATCCCATTTTGTTTATATATATATACATTATCCAATTATAACCCGGATAACCCCACTACATTCCCATTATATTCCCATTCTGTCCTCATTGTATCCCCATGATATCCATTCAAAGTTCCCTTAGCTAAGTCACTTCAGCACATGACACAACTTGTTCACCCAGTGAGTGAACTCCATTCCTCACTTCCTTCTATTACAAAATCTAACATCAACACATCAACATGTAAAAACACACACAATAACAATTAGTAAAGAAATTGTACACCCAATTTCTCGTTCATCATCCCATCCAAATCTGATGCTCCCTCTGGCCAGCCCACATCCCCCTGCCCCCAGCCTGACATGTGGATATTCCTGCACCACCCTCCGCAGCGGTCCGAAGCTGGTGCTGTAGATCTTCTCGCTGCTGCCGTCCGCCCCCGCCGACAAAATAACGTGCGGCATGGGCGTGTAGACGAAGTGGAGCCGTCCTGCCGGCTTCGGAACGCATCACGGGGAGGACGAGGTGTGTTAGGATAGAAGAAACTGGGTTGTGTAGACAAGGTAGATGATGAGACGATGATTTTATGTTATCTTTGAATATGCATTATATATATATAACATATATATATATATAACATATTCTAGCTACTAGCTATGTTTTTATTCCTAGAGCCATGAGAAGCTGTGGCCGGTGAAATAACCCATCATTCTGTGGTCGGCCTTGATACGTGAAGGGAATCCAGTTCCTGAGCGGAGGCGTAGCGGTGTGCCATGGTTATTCGTTACCGATGAATAGGGACCCACCATCAAGTACCCTCTGGTAAACTAACATAACATAACTATGGAAAACCACCATTTTTAATGGGACAATCCACTATAAATAGCCATTTTCAATAGCTATGTTAAATTACCAGAGGGTAGTCATCCCACCATCAATGTGGTTCCGAACAAAGGGTGGCGTACAGGTGTGAAGTGAGCCCTATTGAGGAGGGGCTAACACTCCCCGAACTTATGGCAAAGTAAACCATGTAACTTGACCATGGCACAGTAAGATACATAGAATCTACTTCCTAATCCGTTGCCAATTTCGCGGGTCATCCATTGTATTGTCAAGAACTGCACAAAGATTTTGAGGCTACTTGGGCCGAAAATCGTTCCCCACTTGTCAAAGTTATATATATACATATATATATATATACATATATATATATAATGTAATTATATACATATTATAATTATATATATATGTGATTATATATTAATAATATATATATATATATATACATACGTATGTAAACATATATGTAAACATATATGTAAATATCATTAAATATCATTAAATATCATTAAATATCATTAAATATCCGTCAGAAAGTGAATTCTTAAATTATTCTTAATGGGATAACATATCATCTTGCTTCCTTTCGGGGCTAAGCATCAAGGCATTGTTGGCTATATCTCCATGATATCCCCAGTGGCCCAGCTTTGCAACCCAACAGCGAATGGTTCCAGCAAGGTTCTCGGACTGTTCCAGTTTTTCGGGGCGTGCTGCATTTTCGTGTCGCCAGTCCCCGGTCCCAGAGATTGAAACCCAACAGATTCGCTGTTGGGAATATATCCCAAAAAATGCAACATGAATCTCGATCAACCAAGACACTTCTCATCAACATCAATTTGACCATAGCTCAAACGATAGCCCATTTTTTCTTCGGTGGGTTGCGTAACCTGCACGTCGCTGGACACATACCTGAGGTGTGTGTTTGTGGGCAGGAAGTGACTGAAGCTCACCGAAAACACAGGACGGGGCTCCTCGCTCATGTTGTTGGTTCATGATGGCATAAGGCGTAAGCCACCCCTGTGAACTATACATAGATTCTAGATACTCTTCAAACATTCGTAAACCATAGTTGAACTATCATAGTTATACTAGTTCTACCAGCTATAGCTAGTAATAAATGAAGTTCGCAAACCATGGGGCACCATCCTGTATACGGATCTATTTGTCTGAGATGTTTGAAGTTTTTCCGCATGTTCATGCGCTACATCTCTAAGGCCTGTCTGTCGTGTAATTGGATGCAATCAGTGTCTGCATACATGTGGCAAACAATAAAAAAATGATAGCAACTGCGCGAAAATTGTAAAACCTGACATTCAATAATTTTATTTGTAACACATAGACCCCTATAGATTCATATAGATTCCACATGAAGTGAACGGCCCCCTGGGAAAATACATGAAAACCCAGGAACTGGCCGTGACACATTTGATGGATCTGATTGCACTGACCCGATGAAACATCCACCGTTGGTAAACATATGATTTCCGGGGCTTTTCCCATAGTTGTTCCATATGGGTGGATAAATGGGAAATGGTGGATGTTTGTTTCCCGGAACAACTATGGAACATCCATAGATGTATCAAAAAAGGTGGATAAATCTACCAGCAGCACATCTTCCCATCGTTTTGCCAAGAAGCATCTGCGTCACAGCGTCTAGCAAGCCTGCAAAGTCTGCGTTTCTAGTTTCGTGATCCCAGTAGATGTGAGCCGAAAGAATCAATACATCCAAAAAGTGAGATGACACAGGGTCGGTAATATGATTGTGTGGTCTAACATTAATATATATATATATGTGTTTATGGTATAATACCATAAAGGGAATATATATGGTCTGTCATCAATAATACCATAAACATATTTAAATACACACCGTATTGTAGGGCATATGGCATTGCATCATATAATTGTTTCTGAACCAATAAAAAAGAAGTAAGAATGAAGAACGATATTACATTATATTGTATAAATACTGGAAAACACAACAAAACTTGTTGTCTACAACTCATAAACAACTGAAAAAAATATCATTTATAACATAATGACATAATTTACAAACATTATTGGCTACATTTGGCATATTGTAAAAAGGATGGGACCTCTACCAAACATCCTGGTGGGCACATGCAGCTCATGAGAATGATATATAACATTATACAAGCATATATAAGCAATAATAGTGGGATATGAGCAAAGGATACCCTCTGGTAAACTAACATAGCTATTGAAAATGGCCATCTATAGTGGATTTTCCCATCAAAAATGGTGATTTTCCATAGCCATGTTAAATTCCCAGAGGGTATCAAAGGTATCCCTGCGAATGCAAGATATCGACAATTGTGTGGCTACTGAGATAATTGTAGACTGCATGAATAGACAGGAGGAAGGGAATAGGCTGTTGGCGGTCCTGCGGTACCCAATAAGCAACAAGGATCATGAATCAAATGTCTAACGTGTTTCGCTGGTTGTTTGGTGCTTGTTTCGATTCCATCACCATGGTTGACACACCTTTCTAGAACTTTCACATCTATCCATTTCCACGCCTGAATTCCAACTGCCCGACTCACCCTATCTTCCGTGATATAACCCCCATCCTGTCATTTGCACGAAGATCAAAATTTGTGCATGAATTAAAACATGGAAATGCCTCATCATGCCGCAAGATGTGATGGTTTTGTTGGTTAACATCATTCATGTGTTTGGCTGGTCACTATATCATTATCCCACATGCTTCATCAATTTTCTTCTCCCATCCAAAATGCCTCTGAAAAGTCTCTGTTAAGGTCAAAACATGTCAATTCTTGATTGAAATCAAAACTCCGGTCACCCTCATTATGGTGAACTGCCAGTAAATCCCCCTCATAATCCCATGAAATTCCGCGAAATCCCATGAAGTCCCATGAAAGATCCCTATTTTTTCGTATGGTTGAACCACACTCACTTTGTCCATTCTATCCCGATGAGTTTCCCATTAAATCCCATGAAATTCCAGAAAAAAACACCACTCAATCCTGTAAGAAACATCATTCACTTCCATTAAACCCCCTTGAAATCCCAATAATTCCCATGAACATCGCATTACCTTCCATTAAAATCCACTGAAATCCATTAAACTTCCAAAATCCATTGAAATCCATTAAACTCCATTAAACTCCTATGGAAACCCAGTAAAATCCTATGGACAAATCTCCAGGAACACTTCCAAGCCCCGGCCTTGCTGGTTCCGACGACACACGCCCTCCACGTCGCCGCTGTGCGGCTTCTTCGAATCAAAGGCCATGACCAGCTGACCTTCCAGGTCTACCGCCTGCACGATGGGTTGATGTATCCATATTATATAATATATATATATATATTATATATTAGGTTTATGTACAATTGTTGCCCCACTGTTGCGTGATTCTATCCCTATACTATCCTATATATAACATATATATGGTCCCGTGTCCCGTGTTCCCACCCCCCCCCCATGGGATGGGGGGGGGTATGATGCCCCTGTGGTGGTGTATATACATACATACACATACATACATACCTACATACCTACCTACCTACCTACCTACATACCTACGTACATACATACATTACATACATACATACATACATACATACATACATACATACATACCATTACATTACCTTACCTTACATTACCTTACCTTACATTACCTTACATTACCTTAGCTTACCTTACATTCCATACATACATACATACATACCTACATACCTACATACCTACATACCTACATACCTACATACCTACGTACATACATACATACATACCATTACATTACCTTACCTTACATTACCTCCCTTCCTTACATTACCTTACCCGTACCTTACCTTCCTTACCTTACATTTTCCGTACCTACATCATACTACAGACATAATACTACATCTACCCAGCATAAATACCATTACTTACCCTTACTTACCTTACCTTACCTTACATTACCTTCCCTTATCATTACCTTACCTACCTTACTCCCCCATACATACAACATACATACTACATACATACATACATACATACATACATACATACATACATACATACATACATACATACATACATACATACATACATACATACATACATACATACATACATACATACATACATACATACATACATACATACATACCTACATACCTATATACCTACATACCTACATACCTACATACTTACATACCTACATACCTACATACCTACATACCTACATACCTACATACCTACATACCTATACCAACATACCAACATACCAACATAACATACATACCAACATACATACCAACATACATACCAACATACCACCAACATACCAACATACCACCACCGCAGGCCACAGGGGGGGACCAGAAGAACCATACCACCACCACAGGCCACAAGGGGGGGGGACCAGAAGAACCAGACGATACTGTCCACCCATACCCATTGGTGGGGGGGGGAGGGGGGGTGGCCAACGCTGCACCATATATATATATATGATATAAAAAAATATATATCTATGGGTAAATCATAATATTTTACTCATCTGAATAGTTCGGCTATTTTGGGATATTTCCCCTTACTAACCTTTAGTCCAGTGAGGGAGAACAGTGAGGTCGTTATAATTTACGCATATATATATATATATACACAGTTTATGTACAGTAATTATATAGTAAGTAGTTGATATATATATATAGAGAGAGAGTTCAGGTATGATACTACCAGAATAAATAACTGTTATATAACGGTATGATTCTATATGATCATTTCCATATATATATATAGTTTATGTATATGGTTTATATATGTATAGTGTATATGACACTACTTGGTTCACGACCCTCAGACAGCCGTGGCACAAACCGCATTCTGCCTTCTTGAACATGTTTGTGGCGCTGTGGCGCCCAATTTTGATTTTGATATCTTCGTTGTCAAAATGTGGGTTTTGAAATTTCCCAAAACTACTTTTTTTGGCACATCATCTGCCTGACACTTTCTCTTTTTTCTTACATAACCTCATGTGACAAGTCTGGAAGTGAATGTGAACGTTAACATCCGCCCCACTCCAAGAAGATAAGTAAAGTAGAACAGCAGACACAAGTCAAAGCAGCGTAGCATGTGACAAGTGTGGAAGTGTACATGAAAACATGACACGGCCAACCAGGGGGCGTGGTCCCACTACTTGCTACCATAATATATAACAGTATCATTGAGAATCCTTTATATGCAATGATATGTGTATACTGTACACATTGACATGTATATGTGTGTATCTAAAGATGAATATCTATAGCTGTTTAGAGTTGTATACTATATATATATGTAGATGTAGGATATACAAACATAAATTATCATAGTTTCGACAATACGACAATACATATCATATGTGTATGCTGATCCATCTATATACATTGTCATGTTTAGATCTCGAAGGAAAATCTGAGGTTTGACCTTGACCAAAGATGGAGGTTTGCATGGTGATGTAAGGAAGCCAAACGGTGATCTGCAGGGGCTTTCCATGGTGGAATATAGGAACGGGCGGAACGGGGTACAACACTGTATAGACTCTGGAGATGTAATGCTTACGCCTCACTTTCTGGCCATGTGACTGAACAAAAATGGGATGAGGTTTAACCCAACAACAGGTTCAACCAGCGTGGGATGATAGCTCCTCAAGAGCTATCTAACTGAGATCTTAATAGATCTTATATTAATCCCAATGGGCAACTGGCTAGTACATTGCTCATGGTTAATTTCCTCGTTGCGCTATCGGAAACCCCAAGGAATCAGGGACCGATTCCATCAGTACGGAACCGATCAGTACGGACCCCATGGCTGGAACTCTGCGTCCCAGCCATGGCAAGAAATTCACCCACGGGGGCCCCGGTTTCCCAACATATGTGATTCATCCAAGCTTTGACTACAAGTGGAAGGGTTAAGTCATAGCATTTCGTTTTAAGTCATTGCAGGGGGCTTGTTTTCGCATGGAAACGTTGCGAACGTTTTAAGTCATAGCAGCTCCGTTTAAGTCATAGCATTTTTATGGTTTCACCATGGAAACGCGTACGGAATGCAATGGGTTTTAGGATCCTTGTTGTTCTGTTTAGCATGGCCTGACGGTGAAAGGTATATGTCCAGGGCATGTTTTGCACATATGTTTTGTGTACAAGTTACAATGGAAACGCGCGTTGACGATGGATATGTTGCAGTGGAATACGCTCATCCAAAAACGAAAAAAACAAATACAGAACTAAGCAAAGAGCGCATGGCATACGCTCATCCAAAAACGAAAAAAAATACAGAAGTAACCCAAATGGTGATAAAATGATACCATGAAATATATCAGTTTACATTGTGTATACTACCCTTTCATGTTTGAATCCTGGCCAATGCTGATAGACAAAGAACCTCGAAAAAAAAGAGCACCGCATGGCACACACTCATCCAAGAGCAAAGACAACATACATGACTAACCCAAAATGTTTAAACGTGATACACCAGAATACATCACTTTACATACTATTTCATGCTATTCTATCATATTTGAACCTTACCAATCCTCACAAACATATATGTTGCGAAAACAAAGCAACGCATGGCAGACACACATCTAAGCATAGAAACAACATACATAGCTTATCCAATATGTTATACTATGATGCTCCCCAATATGCCTTTCCGCAAGGCAGACGCTCATCCGCTACGACTTAACACACGATGCAAGGACTTAACCCTAGTACCTAGTATGGCACAGTGTTGGATTTCTAACGTGATTCATGTGGTAAACCGAATAAAGATAATAATAATCATACTATATAGTAACATATAGTAATAGTCATAGTGATAATTAAACAGATAATAACAAGAAATTTCAGAAGCCTCCCCATAAAAAAATCGCAATTTTTATGGGTGGTTTTTTAACAACATCCTCATATGGTAGTTCGCCCACAGCTCGGCTTCCGCCGAGGTTTTAAAGGACGGTGCAGGTCTCAACTCTTCAACAACTCCACATTTTTGAAAGTAACTTCTGGGGGAAAAAGTTACACATACACAAAAAATGGATCAATCCAGATCTACATGGATGAATCATCGACATTTTCTGGTAAACACTGCTTCAAATCACCATTTTTAGATCATGGTAAGCTTGTTGTTTTACCATGATTTAGTGCTTCAAATCACATCAAATCACCATTTTGGTTCTGTGAAATCACCAAATTTGTTTCAGCTCCGCCTTTGGATCTTCAGGACCGGTCACCACGTGTCGAATCAGGGTGTTGTTGCTAGCAATCCAGGTTTCAACAACCTTGGAATCTTGGAACGTTGAAAAAATCTGCTGTTCCACATATCATGGGAAAACTGTGATTTTTGCTATGATTTCATGGGATATGACTGGGGATCCGCTGATTAATCCACTGGGATAATTCATGGATGATACACCTGGAAAAGATCAGCCAATCATAGAAAAAACACATTTTTTTTATCATGGGAAACTATGGGAAAATCATGGAAAATCCTCTATAAACTTGAACCGTTCCAGGATTTGTTCCAAAATCTTATCGGTAATTTGTTGGAGCTGCCAACTGGAACATCACCATTGTATAATCGGTAGCAAAGGGTATCTTGAAAACAGAACTGATCAGTATGTCAAATCTTAGATGTCTATTCAACAAGATCTGCTCAGTAATGTAATCCCATGAAAAGGCCTAAAATAAAAAATCAAACTACCCAACCTGTGTTGGTCCCGATCCCGGGTATGAATGATTACTGGATGGGCCATGTGTCTTTGCTTGTCGGTGCCATGTTGCCAATGCAATCAACCCTGGGGAAAAAAATACTTTACTTCGTGTGATCCCCACCGTGACATTTTTACATTTTCTTACCGGCAAATCTTCTGGCATTCTATCTGACATATCTTCTGGCATTCTATCTGGCAAATCTTCTGGCATTCTATCTGGCATATCTTCTGGCATTCTATCTGACATATCTTCTGGCATTCTATCTGGCATATCTTCTGGCATATATTCTGACATATCTTCTGGCATTCTATCTGGCATATCTTCTGGTATATCTTCTGGCATATCTTCTGGCATATCTTCTGGCATTCTATCTGGCATATCTTCTGGCATATCTTCTGGCATATTATCTGGCAAATCTTCTGGGATTCTATCTGGCATATCTTCTGGCATATGTTCTGGCATATCTTCTGGCATTCTATCTGGCATATCTTCTGGCATATTATCTGGCAAATCTTCTGGGATTCTATCTGGCATATCTTGTGTCATTCTATCTGACATTCCATCTGGCATATCTTCTGGCATTCTATCTGGCATATCTCATGAGGTCCGGCAGGGAACACTTGGCGTGGATACTCGCGGTTGAGGTCCGGCAGGGAACACTGGGCGTGGATGGTCGTGGTTGAGGTCCGGCAGGGAACACTGGGCGGGGATACTCGCGGTTGAGGTCCGGCAGGGAACACTGGGCGGGGATGGTCGTGGTTGAGGTCCGGCAGGGAACACTGGGCGGGGATGGTCGTGGTTGAGGTCCGACAGAGAACACTGTCACCGAGGGTCGCAGTTGAGCAGGAGGACGAGGATGACGAGGAGGACGAGGAGGACAAGGAGGAGAGGAGGAGGAGGAGGACGAGGCAGGAGGAGGCAACTGACATAAAATCTAACAACCCTCACCTGGCAGGTGGGGAAAAAACTATAAAGTTCTTGCCAGTGATTCCACTTGCCAACAGGCATTAAAAACTGAAACGACTCTGCGGAGGCATCCTGACGTTTTCGAAACGGAAAGCGTCAGTTTGTGATGGACATTTGCGAGGAAAGTTATGGGCTACTGTGGATTTGTTTGACCCTGGTTGATGCTGGTGTCGGCCAAATACTGATCAGTCGAAAAACATAGGTTTATCATGGGTTACCCTCTGGTAAACTAACATAACTAAGGAAAATCACCATTTTCAATGGGTAAATCCACTATAAATGGCCATTTTCAATAGCTATGTTAGTTTACCAGAGGTATCTATGATTATCTGATCTGCAAAAAGGATCAAAAAGTACCCGACAATCTCAGCATGTCCTCTTAAATTCCGCACACACCCATATGGCCATATGGGAACCTCATGCGAAAATCGAGAAGTCAATTCATGCAGGATAATCTATTATATATCATATGATATATACATATATAATATAATATATAATATATTACATATTACATATATCATATTATAATATAATATAATATGTATATACACATATTAGTATGGTTTGGTCTGAAAATACCAAGATCCAATGGTTTGTCATCATTTTCCAAACAGCCAAACAGGGGGCCCCGATTTTCTGGCAGCCACACAGATTTGCCCAACAAATGGGGGATGTTCATTGCATTGCCGGGTAAAGCTACAGTTTTGGTCATCTATTAATTGTAAGTACTAACAAAACCCCATTTGTGGAACGTATAATCCCTTTATAACCAGTTATAAATAATAAATGGCCACAAGTGTAGGTTGAGTGGGGAAAAACAGAACCTTCCGTGCAAATCTGAGGACGCACAAATCCTTCCACTCGTTGCCTGCCAAGCAAGGAAGCGGCGATGCAAAGCTATGGTGGGATGGTGGTGCAATCAGGATTTTTCGAACATATAATCGATATAATATCATCCCTCTGAGTAATGATTGCAAATACCCTCTGGTAATTTAACATAGCTATTGAAAATGACCATTTATAGTGGAATGTCCCATTAAACATGGTGATTTTCCATAGTTATGTTAGTTTACCAGAGGATATACCTGCATTCCCACATTTGAGGGAATAAACATCCATTCACCAGCTATTTCATCCATTTTAAGGTACCTAGTGTATCCCAGGGTTTTGACTCATAGCCATGAACACTGCCAAATTCTGCCCGGTGTCCAATAGAAACAGCCAGCATCGGCGTGCCACAGCGATCACCGGGTGGACCCGCCCAGGTATAAGTTGGTGGATAGCCCCATCGAACTATATAAACATCCATAAACCTTATATTGATATCTATATTGTAGTTATACACCACCGTAGCCATCGTCCGGCGGCCCCTTGCAGGATTATATGCATTTAAAATTATATCCCCTTTCCAAGACCTGAAACATCCTAAAACATGAAAATATCCCTGATACCCTCTGGTAATTTAACATAGCTATTGAAAATGGACCATTTATAGTTGATTTACCTATATTTACCTGTTAAAGATGGTGATTTCCATAGCAAACTGTTCGTTTACCAGAGGGTAGATCCCCCGGTGGATTTCCCACTGGACACATGTTGGTATTTCGATCCTCATCTTTCAAGGTTTTCTTGACCATCAACCGCCCAAAAAACAGTTCGTGCAACACCAAACCTAGAAACGAATCAATTAGTTAAGGATGGAGCTCCCATATTATATCCTCAACCAAAGGATGCACCCATCAACACTACTATCAATAATGTTTACATACGTTTACCCCATGTTCTTGCTTTAAAATGCTTAAATCACTTCAAATCATCAATCCCGCATCACTCGCCAGCAGTTGTGGGGACCAGGGATCAGCATCGCATATCCCAGCGCGCGCGGCGCCTGAGGGGGTCCGCAAACCGCTCCACTCTTCCATCTGCACATTCTGCAAGGGATTTACTCCTAGGAAAAGGGAGGTGGGCATGATGGGAATATAAACATGTACAATCATGTACATTGGAATACACATCTGAGTAAATCTACATATTTAAATCTGATTACATGTGTATATGTATATGTGTATGTTACATGTCACTGTATATATGTATGTATTCGTCATATATGTATATGTATATAATGTATATATATATATATACACGTATATATGTCTATATCATAATCATATGTGTATATTGTACATATACAAATCATATACATGATATCATATGTATGTATATGTATATGATAGTATATAATCGTATCATATGCACAATAATTAAGCATCAAACCAGTGGGATCCAATCAACATGTGGCTGTCCTGTGGTTGGCCATTCTTTCCACGCCTCACATGTCTGGGTCGCAGGTGACTGGGTCAATCTTGGTCATGTTCTACCAGGCTTTCTCTGAAAATGCACCAACAATCCCAATTTATGGCCTTTTTTTTTTGGGAACATGGGAAAAAAATGGAATTGGTGGACTTAGAGGTATCCTACGGTGGTTTCAAACAGACACATCAGATTTTTTTTGGGGGTTGGGCTCCGACTCGATAAATGGCTATGAATCATCCTTGGCCTCGAGACCCCCAAAAACCCACAGCGACTTGGGGTGTCCGAAATCTTTGAGAAACTGCCCATGTTCAACTCAAGGGACAATCAAAGGAAACCATAGGAAACCCATGAGGTTTCAATGGTAAGATGTAGCCAAAATGTTTTCCAATTTCTGTTCATCTTCCCTTCAACCCATGGGAAACGCACAAAAAAAAACAGACAAAAACTCAAGCTCGACGATGTCTCTCAAGGCACAGATCCCCAACTAGGGTTGCATTGACCGTTTAAAGAGGAATCTCGGAATCTCGACCAAAAAACGGCAGTTGGGGATTGTAAATTCTAGATCCCACTACCCGTTTCCCCATTTTCTTCTATAACCCCTTCGCAAGACTTCGCAAGTAGGATATTCTGGGGCTATACTTCCTCTCTACTGTTGATCCACTCACCAGCGTTTCAGGTGGTTTTTTCGTCCATTCACATTCGCCATTTGGGTGTCTCAAACTATATGGCACCCGGATGAAGTCGGGTGGCTGATCATCATGTTTTTTGTGACAAAAATCCAACGGGTGGACCACATTTTCAGACGAACCCATTTACGAATTCTATCTGGTTGGTGGTATACCTACCCCTCTGAAAAATGATGGAGTTCGTCAGTTGGGATGATGACATTCCCAATATATGGAACAATAAAACATCTTCCAAACCACCAACCAGATTTTGGGTTGTCCGAATCTGGTTTTGGATTGTGTCACCGAAATTCTTCGGCTTCGCGACATAGTCTCCATCACTGCACCAGTGCCAAGTCACTATCGGATCCAAGGGTGTCTTGCCCATGATGATGTCTGAATGCCACAACTGATCGATAATCACTGCATCCTGCCGCGATTTTTTGAAGAATTGAACGCACAGCTGGAATACTGAAATGCATTGGCAAAGGATTTAGGTGAACAAACAAAATATCTGTGAACAAACAAAATATCTGCGTTCTGAATGTTCCTATGTGACCATTTCGATGTCTATCACGTGTACCCCTTTCAACCCCTAACCTTGACTATGCCATCGTTTTTTTTCACTGACATCATATTCCCATAAAGATTAAAACATCACCAACCATTCACCCCATTCACCAACCATTCAGCAAGGTCTACCTTTCAAATACATGTATGGTACATACCAAATGATCAGATGTTAATATCCAAGTTTTGGATGATACACGCCTATTAGCACGTTCTCCATCCCCAGTCAATTTACCAAGTGGGCATCCCCAGACAGACAATTTACCAAGTGTTCGTTTGTGTGAAAATAGGCTGGTGACACCAAAATTGCCATGGGAATTGCATTGTTTATGATCTTTTATGATCACCATTGATCATGATTTAACCTACCCCCTGGTGATTTGTTACAGTTTGCGAACTTGAACGTGGCCACATGGCCCATTTAGTTCGTTGATTTACCTATTAATTTACCCAACCTAAAGATGGTGATTTTCCATAGCAAACTGTTAGTTTACCAGAGGGAAAGTTGCAACTTGTGGGCATTCGCTTACATCCCATCTCAGTGCCAATGACTTGGCGCCGTTGGTAACTCCTCCGCTAACCTAACGTCCGACCTCCCAGTCGATGTCGGACCAGCTGACACAGCTTGGAGTTCATTTCTGTTGGTCAACTGCACAACTTTTGTGCTTAAATTACTTAATGTCGCCTTTTTCCGGGTGAACCTTCATTTGGCTGAGTAAAAAAAACAATTCCTGTTAATCAAATCCTGAATTTGTGTTCAGACCCCAATGTTTAAACTCCAAATTTGTTTGAACATGTCCCACTTTTTGGTGGGCCAAATCCACCATTTTGGATGGTGGAAATTCACATTTCCAGTCCTGTGCCCCCTCTGGGCCATTGAAGATACCGTTGCCCATCTTCGTTTCCCTCCGGTGTCGTCGGGCCACGACAATGACTTCATTGTCCTGGCAGTGGCAAACTTGACGGGTCAAACATGGGCGCGAGCATGGTGTTTTGTTTTCTTGTATATAGCCATAGTTCACCATACTTGACCAAGTTAACCAGATTTAATCAATTCAATCAGACATTTTTCGCGAATTCATGATCGTTGGTGATTTTGAACTGTACCCTCATGGTGGTTGAACCAAGAAATGGGAAGTAAACCAAAAAGAAACATAGAGCTTTCACGGCAAAAACCCTCAGCCCTGTTTTTTTTTTTAATAAAAATCAATGGGTGGATTTCATGGGGGCGGGTTTGGCTTAATCCCATAATTCACCTTAAATCACTTTAATAAGGACCTTAAATCACCTTTTTGTTTCAAAAATTCTAAGATTTACATTGCCTGTAACGGAAGTATAGCCTGTGGCAGTGGCACTTCAAGACTGGCGTAGACCTTACATATGTTCCGTACAGTGATGGGCCACTTTCTGAGTTGGTGAAGAAGTTGCTTCACTTCACTGTGGAATTCCCACTCACTTCTATTTGAACGTTAAATGACTAAACTTATTCGCAGCTGGTAGGATGTCATATCCCTCCATGGCTATAGATGTTCATGGCATCCAAACTCAAAATATCTCCAAACGTTCGACGTTTGCGCTTAAACTTACCATGTATAAACATCAATTGACTGTTGGGTGGATTAATTAAGCTGTCTTCAACCACCCAGTGACATGTATCTTGGTTTAGCTTCACCCCATGACAAAGCTAGTTCAAGATATCTACCATAGACATCCATACACCGAAACATAACTTACAGTTATGGCCATTAACAGTTACAAGTGGAAATCTAGCTTCTATAGCTAGTCGGTTATATATCATTATAAACCCATGAACATATATCAAAATAACTGTTAGTTGGGCCATAACTGTATGTTGAACAACCAACTTCGGAAACTCTGGCAGCACCTTAATCAACAGCGAAGGGTTGATAGTGGCAGAAGCTTCCCGCTGATGGTCCAGAAGTTGCAAGCGCTGGTCCAGGGTCCTGAGAGGTGCTCAACAATGAGGATTTCGGCGAAATGATGCCAAGGAACCAACGATTTCATTGGGGTTAACATGGTTTAAACAACAATATATATATATATAAATAAAACCCAGTCTAAACAACATAAAACAAACTAGGTATAAGCAGAATTTCAGGGGCAACAACTGTTTGATAAAACTGACATTTTGGACTTACAAAAAGAAGGACAGTTTGAGAACCTTTGAATGCCGGTTTGTTGGCTACGGACATGGGGGTTCACCAGCCAGGTGAAAGTTTCATCTACAACATGGCAGGAATATACGGGGATTCAATCATGAAAGTCTGAATATATGAGAAAAAATCTGGGTGTGTCCCAAAATATGATATCCCAAAGTTTGATGTTTCATCATCATCCTTACCTTAAAGGCTATTCCCAAGGTATCGAGACAAACCATCTCCATCCATAGTCCCATATTGTTGGTGATACCCTCTGGTAAACTAACATAACTATGGAAAATCACCATTTTTAATTGGTAAATCAACTATTTCTATCACCATTTTCAATAGTTTTTTGTTTGTTTACCAGTGGGTATATTCCATCAATTTCCAATGAATTTTCCCGCAGCATCCCAAAAATTGATTGAACATGGTCGTCCCTTGCTGGTTGAGAAATTTGAAGATCGCAGCCACTGCTCAATTGTGTTGTTTTTTTAAAACCTCCAATATCTATCTATATCTCTCTCTATACTCTATATATATATATACACACCCCATTCTATATCCCAATAATATATCATATGATGTATATATATATATACTTACCACTTATATAAGTTATACATCCGATTATAGACATATATCCACTCAATGTAGCATCAAATTATATTGTTTATAACCTGGTTTTACCAGTTTACGTATTGTGTTTGACTCAGGATATACTCGATGCTAGCTCTGTGCCAAGACGCTGCTCATCGATCCTCACCTCTGCTGGTAGCTCTGGAAGGGCTGGAGCTAAGGCCTCAGCAGTACCGCTGTGGAGCCCGTGGCAGGTCAGCCCAAAGGACCGGATAACCCCACAAGGCAACCTCTTCCAATAATGAGCACCAAATATTGTAGCGGGGAAGGGGAAGGAAGGAAAGACAAAGGAGGTGGTGGAGGATCGAGAAGTAAAACAAAGTTGTGTGTGACAAAGTTGTGTGTGAAAGATGGTGTGTGTGAAAGCTGTGTGTGAAAGATGCTGTGGTGAAAGATGCTGTGACATAAAGTTGTGTGTGAAAGATGGTGTGTCAAAGATGGTGGGTGTCAATGTGGTGTGTGAAAGATGGTGTGTCAAAGATGGTGTGTGACAAAGCTGGGTGTGAAAGAGGGTGTGTGAAAGATAGTGTGTGAAATAAAGATGTTGTGTGACAAAGAAAGTGTGTGTGAAAGAGTTTTGAAAGAGGGTGTGTCAAAGATGGTGTGTGAAAGATAGTGTGTGACAAAGGGGTGTGTGAAAGATGGTGTGTGACAAAGATGGCGTGTGACACCAGAGCCAGCCCAGTGCCATAAGTTCCACGCCTGCCACGCAAAACGAAGGCGGATGTCATCAAGTGCCACGCCTGCCACGCGAAACGAAGGTAGATGTCACCAAGTGCCACGCCTACCACGCAAAGTGCCGCGGCGTCACCGGCGACTAAAACGGGCCCAAGCGCGCCACCAGAGCCAGCCCAGTGCCATAAGTGCCACGCCTGCCACGCAAAACGAAGGCGGATGTCATCAAGTGCCATGCTTGCCACGCGAAACGATGGTGGATGTCACCAAGTGCCACGCCTGCCTTGCAAAACCAAGGTAGATGTCGCCAAGTGCCACGCCTGCCACGCGAAAGATGGTGGTTGACAAAGATGTGTGTGACAGATGGTGTGTGACAAAGATGTGTGTGACAGATGGTGGTTGACAAAGTTGTGTGTGTGTGAAAGATGGTGGTTGACAAAGATGTGTGTGAAAGATGGTGGTTGACAAAGATGTGTGTGACAGATGGTGGTTGACAAAGATGTGTGTATGTGTGTGTGACAGATGGTGGTTGACAAAGATGTGTGTGAAAGATTGTGCGTGAAACAAAGATGTGTGTGAAAGATGGTGGTTGACAAAGATGTGTGTGAAAGATGGTGGTTGACAAAGATGTGTGTGACAGATGGTGGTTGACAAAGATGTGTGTGACAGATGGTGTGTGACAAAGATGTGTGTGACAGATGGTGGTTGACAACGATGTGTGTGAAAGATGGTGGTTGACAAAGATGTGTGTGAAAGATGGTGGTTGACAAAGATGTGTGTGAAAGATGGTGGTTGACAAAGATGTGTGACAAATGGTGGTTGACAAAGATGTGTGTGACAAATGGTGGTTGACAAAGATGTGTGTATGTGTGTGTGACAGATGGTGGTTGACAAAGATGTGTGCGAAAGATTGTGTGTGAAACAACGATGTGTGTGAAAGATGGTGGTTGACAAAGATGTGTGTGAAAGATGGTGGTTGACAAAGTGTGTGACAGATGGTGGTTGACAAAGATGTGTGTGACAGATGGTGTGTGACAAAGATGTGTGTGACAGATGGTGGTTGACAACGATGTGTGTGAAAGATGGTGTGTGACAAAGATGTGTGTGACAGATGGTGGTTGACAAAGATGTGTGTGAAAGATGGTGGTTGACAAAGATGTGTGTGACAGTTGGTGGTAAAAAAGATGTGTGTGACAGATGGTGTGTGACAAAGATGTGTGTGTGTGAAAAAATGTGGTTGACAAAGATGTGTGTGAAAGATGGTGGTTGACAAAGATGTGTGTGACAGATGGTGGTTGACAAAGATGTGTGTGACAGATGGTGTGTGACAAAGATGTGTGTGACAGATGGTGGTTGACAAAGGTGTGTGTGAAAGATGGTGGTTGACAAAGATGTGTGTGAAAGATGGTGGTTGACAAAGACGTGTGTGAAAGATGGTGGTTGACAAAGATGTGTGTGACAGATGGTGGTTGACAAAGATGTGTGTGACAGATGGTGGTTGACAACGATGTGTGTGAAAGATGGTGTGTGACAAAGATGTGTGTGAAAGATGGTGGTTGACAAAGACGTGTGTGAAAGATGGTGGTTGACAAAGATGTGTGTGACAGATGGTGGTTGACAAAGATGTGTGTGACAGATGGTGGTTGACAAAGATGTGTGTGAAAGATTGTGTGTGAAACAAAGATGTGTGTGAATGCAAGAAGCGGCGGCGGAGGAGGCGGCGGAGGAGGAGGTGGAGGAGGATCGGCGGGATACAGAATCAAAAACAAGAACTCCACACAAAGATGTGGGCAACAATCACCAAAATCACCATAAATAGATATCAATGGGTTGGATTACCACCATCCCCAAATACTGTAGTTGTTTATGGCATTGGGTGAATCCCACATCATACATACACTCCAAAGAGCCTATAAGGCCTATTAAGGTGGAGGTCACATCAATGGGAGAGGCTCGGCTCGATTTGGGGGTCAAATATAGCGGGGTCGCTCCTACTTTGATATGAATCTCAAGAAAAAATGATGTGCGAATAATTACACCAATAATCAATGTGCTGAAATCATAGTTTTGATAAATATAATTACGTAGTTCCAATGCCGGCCGATACACAATAGTACAACAATGGTCGGTATTTATTTATGGATATTTTTTAACGACGCATTAAGTAATTGCATGTAATTGCATTATCCCAAACTCAGCCAAAATACCAACCCAACGAGAAAACATGAGGTAGACCCTGGTCATTATATAGTAGTGTATAATTACATCATACTACCAGTGCATTTGTGTGTGGACAAAATCAGCTAATAAACACTGGAGCTGGAAACAAAGTTTGAATAAACCAACCAGGCAGCATAGTTCACAGGGGCAGCCATGGTTGATCCGTTCCCGGGCCCCCCGGGACACTGGTGTAAATCTGATTCCTGTCTAGAACATCGAATGACTGGATCTATATTATCAAAACATATATAACATATATAACATATATATATATTTATATCATAACATATATATATATATATATCATGTTAGAGCAAGGAATGATTTCTATCAAATATTGTCGTCAACTACCAGGCTTAGCCACTGGCTTGGACTCCAACTTTCTGCTGCTTCAACTGGTACAGTATCCCAATTGCTGCTGGTAAAATCCCCATCTTTGCCAGTTAAATCAATTGCAGAAACTCCCAAATCATGTTATATCGCATTTTTGTTGCCTTGGTTAGGTCACAATGTGTATTCGTCAATTCATGCTATGCCGCATTAATATGCCTTTATTTTGGGTTGAATTACATCTCTGCTTTTTGTTGATTGAATGCAATTGTTCCTGGTAAAATAAGAATGTTTGCACTTTGACATTTGTTAATTCCAATGTTTTCCGTTAAAGTATATCACATGACTCACATCGCATCGTTTCTTAAGGCTAAGGCTCAAAATGTTGCTGCTTGGTCAACCACCAAGAAGGGCCCCACTTCACTTACCATCAATTACCATCAATATCCATCAATTACAGTCAATTATATACCATATTATACCATTGATTACCTATATAATTATACCATTATACCATACCATTATAGCATATTATATCATTGATTACCAATCGATTCTTCTATGGCGACATCAATCTTGCCCAGCCTGATCCGGCAGAAAGCTGCACGCCACAAAGGCAGCCGCCAATACGAAGGGTACCGCCAAGCGCGCGTGTGTGTGGGCGGCCCACCATTTCTGGATGGGCTGCTGGATCAGCTTGGCGATCCTAGGGAGATGGGAGGATCAAAGAGGGTGATCGATATCTAAGAATGATGCTTGGTTTATAGTGGAAAATCCTATCTAAAATGGATGATTTAGGGGTACCCCCATTCAGGAAACCTCCAATTCAAAACTGTTGGACTGTTGGGCTTATGATATAATGTTGGTAAAACAATGCCATACACCATCCCCCAGTCATCACCATGTTTATAGGTGCTAGGTATGTTCACAATTCCCAGTCATGGGTCGGTAGGGTCGGTACACCCAGGATCAGCAGAGAGCAACGGCAGATTTTCAGCAGAAATCGTAAGGAAGCAATGATGGATTTAATCATGGTTACTGCCATTCTAAATACCCTCCAGTACCCATCATCAACACAATCAACAACATCAACATCATCAACATCTAGGAGTGTAATCGTATCTTCCTCCCTTTGTGGCTACAAAACGACATGACATGACATGACCAAATCATCAATCGACGAATAGGATTCACGATGGATCTATTCTGTAGGATGGAACAACATTCAAAAACCACAAATCCATGGATCACAACTGGAGACCGTGTCCCCTGCTGCGCAACTCGCGCAGGGAATGGGGTACCCTCTGGACGTTGGATACTACGCCAAAGAGCAGGAATGCAGAGGCGTAGGTGAAAACCAGGAACCACAGCAGGTTCACCTCGGTTAAACCGAGCGACTTTTCGACACCTTTTCGAACGCTGAGCTGCAGCGGATTTTAAGCAAATGGATGATGAACATACCTGGTTGGTGGTATACCTACCCGCCTGAAAAATATTAGTCCTGACTAATTATTAGTCAGATTGGATCATCATCCCAACTATTGGGGAAAATAAACAATGTTCCAAACCACCAACCAGATACTAACAATAGTGGGTATAATAATGGGTATAATCTCATCCCCCCAATATTAAACACCCCTATTCTATAGTCCCAAGAGTTGTGTTCTTATCCCTTACCATGGTTTCTGGGAGGAACTTCATGGAGTATCCAATCCTCTGGAATCTAATGGGATATGGTCAGCGATGGTGAACGTCACTGAGTGCAGCTCAGAAACAAGGCCCGTCTGTGGCCAGACGGCATAGCAAAGGAATTGGAACACATAGACCTGGGCAGAAACTTAGGTTTATCCCTATACTGCTGAGGTCAAACATAAGGTTGTGCCATCTTGAAGTGTAAGCGGCAAAAATGGAGGTTTCCAAAGTCATTGGGGCACCTCCAAAATCATCCGAAATTAGACCATTTTAGTATTCAAACCTATGGCTTGGGGGATCCCCCATTTCAGGAAAACCTGTATGTATATATATATATATTATGTATATATATATATATGCATATATATATAATATGCATATATGTGTATATATATATATGTACAGTATATGATTGGATATGCACCTTTGAGTCTACTCAAATCTGGCGTACCTGGATCATTCATGATCATTCAAGTGACCCAGGGAGGCTGGCAGTTGTTCTTCATGATATTGCTCTGCGCTTGAAAAATTAGCATTGCAACAATTGCATGTATTTTATTCAAGACCTGTCTCCTGGATTTCAAGGTAGATTGCAGTTCTCTGGTAATTTGACATAACTATGGAGAGTCACCATTTCAACAATTGAACAGCTAAATAAATCATCTATAAATGAGCCATCTTCTATAGATATGCTGAATTCCCAGAGGGTATATCCCAGTATATCTCAGTCTCCTAGCCGTAGCACACCATCTGGAAAAAAAAATGGCAGGATTTCCTTGAAAGGAAGAATCACGTAAAAAAGTCGTCCCCATTTGATCATGTGGATAGTCTACATATTTGACCAGCAACGACACATGAACACATATCCAATGCCAATGTGGATACAGTAACTTTTCGGCAGTTGACTTCATCAAGCATCTGTCATTTACACATATTTCTGGGTCTATGCTCAATCCCAAACTTTTTTGGGCATGTCCATTTCAGAAAGAAATGGAGGAGGTCAGTTTGGAACGCGATTCACCATCACTTGATGTCATTGGCCTACTAACTAGTGGGTGTGGTCCCTGGGTGCTTGCCCCTCTAATTATCAACGGTCATTCCATTACACTGGTCGGGTATGATGATCCCTGATATAATGGGTAGTACAAGCCCCGAACTAATCACCAACCAGGGTTTAGCAACCACTGCTCATGTGATAATCACAATAATGATTTATCAAGATAAATCATGATACAAATATATATATATAATTCTTCAATGTGATTAGGATAAACAAAATAAACATATCTGATATGTCCTAATCTTGATAAATATCAAATCATAAATCCTGCGACTAGGACGGCTCACTCAAACGCCATCAGTCATGGCAACCGCTCCAAGGGGCTGCATAGGAATAGTTCTCCAAAAAGTCCAACTTCCTTAACACGACAGTGTCACTGCACGTCATGGATGGGATCCCCAAATACGACCGTGGCACCGGTGATAGTGAAAGGAATCATCCGGAGCCCCATCTTTGATTTTCCATGTGAAATGTAGCACATGTTCCATTCTATCATATCATATGTGTATAATATATATATATATATATAACATGTAACTATATATTACTATATATTTTTTCCCATCCAAAATCACTGGAAAGTCGTGGGTTTCATCCATGCTTCAAGGATGTTCAGGCTTTTCCCCACTGGCCCACAGGGCTAGCCAGGTCTCGAGAAGGCATAAGAAAAGACCGGCAAAGGCAAGGAGGGTAAACCGGCCAAGCCGAATAGAACCTTCGATGTCTCGAGGAGACAAAATCCCCCAGCAGTTCCATTGTCCGACTTGTCCCATTACCCTCTGGTAAACGAACTAACATAACGAACTGGAAAATCACCATTTTCTGGGTAAATCCACTATTTCCCATATTGTAAAATAACATCACGAACTGGAAAATCACAATTTTCTGGGTAAATCAACTATTTCTATCACCACTTTCAATAGCTTTTTCTATGACAAATGCTCGATGAACCATCCCATGCCGGGAAAACCATGAAATCACCCAGACAAAAATGGACAAATCCCATAGTAAACCCTAGTAAACTTAAGTAGAAATTTGCTGGGTCTACAATTTCCAGAAACGAACAGTCGACAAAAATGGCGTGTATCCGTTGAGGCTTTGCCGGGCCTGAAATTCGTCCAGTCCACTTGTAACAAACACCACGGTGAACCCAGTCAATAGTTTTTTTCCCAAATAAGAATGGCTGGTTCACATCATATCATTCAATATTATATAATAAGTATATATATATACTATATATATAAATAATATATATATAATATATATAATATATATATACATATCCCACTTTTTGGTGTATGCCCCATGTTAAACCATGGTTTTCAAGCGTCCTTTGGGACCTTTTTAAAACTTCCCACGATCTTCCCGTTCGATTTTTCGCAGGTCACCATGGCTTGAAAGGGAAGAAGGACTGAGATCCTGGCCGGAAGAAAACCGTGGTGATTTCATGGTGATTTCATGGTGATTTAATTAATGGGTTTTAATGGAAAATCATAAGAAAACCATAGGAAAATGGTGATTTAATGATGGTCTATGGTGATTTAATGGGTTTTAATGGGATTTAATGGTGATTTAATGGAGATACCCTCTGGTAATTTAAGTGTTCGCTATTGAACATGGCCCATTTAGTTCGTTGATTTACCGAACTTAAAGATGGTGATTTTCCATAGCAAACTGTTCGTTTACCAGAGACTATTGACTGTTACCCTCTGGATTGATTAACATAGACTCATGGAAAACTATTTGAAATTGATGAACATCACCATTTCTAGTGGAAACTGATCTTCCAACCCCTATCTGGCAGGGTCTATGTTAATTTACTGGATGGTAATTATTGTTTAAGATTCATAAAGAAATAATAATTGATTAATGATTGTTGGTTTTTGATTGATATAATTATCTGAATGATTCTATGCTTGCGATTCTATGGTTGTCAATTATCTTAGTGATTGAAGATTCATGGTTGTTGGTTCTTAAATTAACCCTTTTGACATACGATTGCGAATTGTTGATGATTTTTTTTAATCATTGTTGACTATATTGACCTCCGAATGGAATCCAAACTGAACAACTCGAACACGGTTTCGTTTCCGGTGTATTTAATACTAGGAAACGGATGCTATTTTCCTTGATATTTTTTAAGGATCCTTCGATTTATAATTCTATTAAACATGAAGGGTTACTATTGGCTAAACCAAGGGTTCCGATGATCATAAACTGATGAGAAAATCACCAATCAAGAATGATCATGTCAGTAGAGTGAAAATGTGCCTAACTTAAGACCCAAGGACGATCACATAGTCCATTCTTAGTAGTACCCTCTGGTAAACGTTTACATAACTATGGAAAATATTGGAAAATCACCATTTTCTAGCTGGGTAAATCAACTATTTCTATGACCATTTTCAATAGCTTTTTGTATGTTTACCAGGCCGGGTAAACCATCTGATTTTCGGGACCAAAGTTTGACTCCGAGCTTTTGACCAGCAACAGGTTTTTTTTTGCTTCGGTTGGATACCGTTAATGGAGGGGCAGGGTGGAAATTAGGTGAAACAACCAAAAATGGAGATTTAAACAAAAAAAACAAATCAGAACTGCAGCCTCAATCACCACTGACGTTTGACCTTCTGAATCACCCCACAAAACCGGTCACGAAAAATTGTTGATTTTTTTTGACAGTCAACCAGAAAGTACCCCCAAAAAGATAGTCCAAATATGTCCAAATCTTCAATTTCCCAAAATTCGAACTGAAATGTCCTGAAAATCTGCATCTTTTGGGGGTGTTTTATTGTCCATCCGGGGTGGATCATCCCTTTCAGCCTGGCTGAAAGTTTGTAGCCCCAGAGTTTCGCTTGGAAACCTTCCACGCTGAAGACCAACAACAATACCTGGCTGGCGCTGGCGCCAGCGCACAAAGGGGAAGGCGCTTAGATAATCGTTGGTTCTATAGTTATATATAGTAATAGTACGGGCAAACCCCTCAGTTTGCCCGCGCCGACGCCGACGACATGTCCGAACATCAAAAAAACACTGTGTTTTGTGGGACAAAATGCACATGTCCATGATCATGGCTTTCATCTTGAAACGCACAGCTTAGCTACCTGTGCGTTGACTGTTGCAACAACAACATCATCATCATCAACATCATCATCACCATCATCACCATCACCACAATCATCATCATCATAATCATCATAATCATCATAATCATCATCAAACCCTTATTGAAGATCTTCAATGAATGTAGAAGTTTAACGGAGTGGGAGAACTAAACCCTTATTGAAGATCTTCAATGAACGTAGAAATTTAACAGAGTGGGATAATTAAACCCTTATTGTAGATCTTCAATGAATGTAGAAGTTTAACAGGGGTGGGAGAATTAAACTCTTTTGAAGATCTTCAATGAATGTAAAGTTTAACGGGGTGGGACTTTAATATTCTCTAATACCTTTGTTGATCTTCCCAATTGAATGTAAAGTTTAACGGCGGTGGGAATTTATATTCCCAATACCCTTGTTGATCTTCCCAATTGAATGTAAAGTTTAACGGGGGTCGGAATTTCTATTCCTTCAAAATCCCTAAGAAGTTGCGTGGGCGAACTGGGGGGTTTGCGCGTAATAGTACTAGTACTAGTAATAGTAATAGTAATAGTAATAGTTATAGTTATATAAGTTGTATATAGTAATAGTTATAATTAGTTATATAAGTACATAGTAATAGTTATAGTTATATAAGTTGTATATAGTAATACTAGTTATATAAGTTGTATATAGTAATATTAGTTATAATACTATAGTAATACAGTATCCTTCTGTATCCCATGAAAGCACTGCCGCGCTGCCAAATACCCGAGCGGTGCCACAAACTGCAAGGCGATCACGTAGGGGTTCCGCCAACTATCCGCTCCATGGCCACTTAGCACAGCCTGCGACGCAACGTAGGGGTTATATCCCAACAAACATGAGGGTTTTTTTTAATCCGGAGCTAAAACTATCAAGGTCACCCAAAATATGATTGTAGTTATATCCTCATGATATTCCCATGAATTTCCTAATATGTATATACCCGTTATAAACCAGCATTCAACAGAATGAACATGGTATATAACCATGAATCTCTATCAGCCCCACTCATAAATGGAGAACACATATATACATATACACAATATCACAGTACTTACAGGGGTTATATCATATATCCCAACTCAGAAGTGTTGATACATGTCTATATATATATATACACTCATAATATTAAAAAAAAGATGTCTAGGGGATTATTCCCATCATAGAGATACCTCAAACCAAAAAACACCTCAGTCCGGCACCCCCGCACTGTTTCCCGACCTTCTTATCGAGCAGTTGGCGCAACTTTGCCAGCAGCATTCCTTACGGCCAGCATTCGTGTGACCTTTCAATCTCGGGTTTGAAAACTACGAAAAGAGAAAACACAAAATGGAACTGGAAATAATTCAGAAGGGGAAAAGTCATCTTAAGGATCTGCACTCATCAGTTCATCTAACATCATATAACATATAAAATCTACAATGCGACTCTCATAAATATACACAGTATACTCACCCGCAAACAATGCCTCATGGAATTGGAGTCGGGAAAAGGTTCAGTCAAAACCCGACCGCGCCCATGCTATTGAGACGGTGAACAAGTAATGGCTAATAATCACAAAAACAATAGAACACACATATATTTGTATAACTATAGATATTATATTAACCAATATATAAAGATATTGCATAATTACATAGCCATATAGATTTGGTAGAACAATTTGAAGATTGGAGAGACAATTCCTGTCAACACATCCAGCTAGTGCTCTTCTTTGTAGACATGTATTGAGATGATTATTCACCTGAATTCTCCACATATACTCCGTCTCTTTTGGTGAGGTCGTTTGGATTCAACATTCCCTCTAGCATGTTTCAGTAACGACCACAGAGGAGGTCGAAAACAATAACAGCTGCTGTTACCTAGTAGCTGTATTACATATACGTATATATATATGTTGTATATACCATACGTATGTATATAACATATATATATATGTGTGTGTGTGTGCGTGTGTGTTCGTAATTCCAGAAGTTCGGGGGAACTGCATGTATCGTCAAGTCAATGAGCGTAGTTCATTCCATGAGACCATGTGTTTCTGGGGATTCGGGTCGCCCCCAGGGTCGCCCCGTGCCAGGATGCCAACGATGAAGACATGGAAATAGCAGATGGGATGAAACTTCAACCTCAGTGCATGGTACCAGCACTCCCAGCTCGAAGAGCTGGAAGAACTGGTTTCCCCAATTTGGAGGAGCTTTGTCTGAAAAGTACTTCCAAGTCCCTTGGGCCCTTGGATTGTCTTCTTTATCCCTATTAAAATAGAGATAACTTGTAGGTATAGAGTCCATTGTCAAACACAGCCATATTCATACAACTTACAGCAAACCATTGCCAACACAACTAGGTACAGAAAAACGGTACACATAGGGGCTGAAGACCATCGTGCAAGTGCTGGTATCACTTGTCACTACCACTGGTGAAATGTGACTACCATGTGGCACCAGTGGGAGAACATTTGATCAATTTGATATTTCGATCTATTAAGGGCGTGTCGGTGGCTTTGAGCACCAGTCATTCGTCTTTATTTTGTTTTTTTCCATGCCAAAGGCCTTAAGTTTATCTCAACCATTTTTGGGTTGATGATTTCAGCTCTGTGCACAGTACCTGTCGCACACAATGCTCCTGACGCTTCAAAAGGCATCGAATGTTCAGAGCGTCCTTGATGTCATAAGTGTCCCCAAAAAAACTGATTTTCATCGGCGTATGTCTCGCAGTATCCGTCAATGAAGTTGTCTGTGGACAGCATGTATCCGTATCGGAATGCCTCATATGCAAGCAATGTATGTGGGCCTAGCCAGCCTTGCTCTTCAATTCCCAACAACTTCCATATTAAACAACCCCCATAAAGCATGGTAAAATATAAATGAAAACTGATATCATATGTTTGGGACCATAGAATGGGGGGTGTTTCATATTATAGGAACCTCCAAGAAAATTGAACAGTTATATATTTACCACTACGGATTAAATATATTTTTTGTCACTAAGATATCCTATAGAAACCCAAGATAGAAGCGTTATTTGCCACTTCTTCACCACTGTTTTTCTACCTTTTGGGGATTGCTTTTTCGGGGGATGGGATGAGTGTCTATGCAGGAAACATCACCCCCCGGCATACCCTAAAAACAGCAAACAACCTTGGGTGCGAATAGTTCATTCATCTGGAAAATTATGGCACATGCTAATAGATTGTCCAAATCTGAACAAAGCCAATCTTGTGATGAGTTCCTTCACTAAGCATAAGTTTGGTTCCATCCTTCCGAAGTCGTTTTATTTCCCAGATCTACACGCAGTATGTATGTATTTGTGAGTGAGAGAGAGAGAGAGAGAGTGAGTGTTATAAGCATAGAAATTGTTTACATCTTCGTATTTTCATGTTTGATCAAAGTTTGTCCATAAAATGGATAGATGGGTAGGGGTCCCCTTTTCAAGGTTGTTCGGCACAGAGATAAAGCGGTCGTTGCGTGTCATTGCTTGGCAAGTCATCTCATAGCTATGGAAGTTTTAACAAGGCTATGCAAAATTGTAGCATAATCCCTTTCCAAACTTATAACCAATGATCATTATTGTTCATGTGATTTCCTAGAGTATCTACCAATGAAACCTCAACTGAGCCATGAAAAACACATCCCATGAATATCCCATGATACTGCCTGGGTAATAGATATCTCTACCATGGGATCCCATCATTCCCAATAAACAAGGTAGTAATTCCGTATAACTCCGGTAGTGTTTTTGACCCCTAAAACGACTAACCAACAATTTCATCACCAATCAACAAGTTTCTCCTAGAAGGCTTCTTGAATCTCCCTAGTCTTTCTGTGTATTGCTCCCCATCATCGCCTTCAAAACCAAGCAGCATGATGACGCCAATGTCCAAGAATGTATCAGTTGCGAGGTAGCTGTGGTTCTTGTACCAATCCACTGGTTCATTCGCTATCACAGGGATCAAAATCATGAACCAGGGCAAGAAAAAGAAGAAACTCATCAACAAAGCCTCAGCAAGACAACGACCTGGCAATTGGGGTTAGGTTTCTGATTCTGTGTATAGCTATGGGAATTAAACCCCAACTTCTGGGGTAGGGGGCCCCTATAACTTTGGTGACAATTGGTGACACATGTATCTACTGAGTTCACTTGGACTGGAACTGCACGCCCCAAGTACTTTGGTCGACCACACATGCAACAAGCTGACGATGGGTGACCCGAATGTTCCACTGAACGGTGGGATATGAACATGACTTGCCGTTTCGCACACAGGTACATCTTGGCGAACATGACACAAGGGATCTCGTTCTGCCATGTTTTGCCCGGAATCTCGAAATGGATCTTGAAACGATGAGTCAACAAACATACTGTAAAAGCAAAATCAAAATCGTCGGAAGCCCCATGATCACTAATTTTGAGGCAGCTAATGCTATCATGTGCTCTCTGTCTAAAAATATGTATGTATATATATATACATAGTTATTTGTGTATATATATATATACACATACATATGTATATATATATATATGTAAATGAATATACATACACGTATAATATATATATATTGAGTATATAAACATATAACTGTTTTTTTTAAAGGATACTATCACCGAGAATATAAAAGGGATTCAACTCCATACGGTTGCAAGTGCAGCAAACGCACCAAACAAAGAACTTGACCCATGCGAATGTCCCTTGCAACGATATGGTACACCGAGTCTGCTGTCAAACAGCAATTCAGAGGGACCAAATGAACGACAATCTATGTCCAATCCGTTCTTTTTGCAGCTCAATCTGCCTGTGGGATTTAGGCTGGAACGGAGAAACAAAAAAACAATATGTGTTTTGTCTCTTGTGATGTCAAGCACATCTTGTTGGGGAGGTGACGGACATGAAACATATTAAAGTCAATAGGGATGTTGACAATGAAGAATATCTGAAACCACCACCCAGTCAGTGATTGGTTATAAACCCAAGATTGCAATCAGATAAAATCGATCAAATCCATTCAAATCAACAGTTTTGCAAAAGGAAAACATCAAACCATTGAGGTGCAGGAAGGGCACACGCATAACCAAGTAATTTGGTTTGGAACTATACAAATTAGGACTTGTTGTTGAGATATCTATATAGTCATATAGTGAAATTGGTTTATAATAATAACAAACAGAACTGGGTTATACATGGTTATACATGGTTATACATGGTTATACATGGTTATACATGGTTATACATGGTTATACCCAATGTTTCCCAGATAAAATTATATTTTTTTTAGTTTTGCCAGCCAAGTTTACCCACAAAAAAATGCCCAGGAACAGTCTTCAGCAAGGTGAGGTTCTTCAACAGATAGGCCAGGGGCTTGAAGAAGAACCAATAGACCACCATGCAACTTAAGAACCAACCTGAGCCAAGGAAAAACACTAAAAATTGTGGCTTAAAAACTCTGAGTGTTAGTGTTAGTTTACTTCTGGTGAGCCATTTGTTTTTGTCATCAGGGTCCCCAAATCATTAGTTTTTTTCAATACTACAATTTGGAGAAGTTGGAGTACCCCCCATGACTTAGGAAACCTCCAAATTGAGAACCATAAATTCACCCTTTTTTTTCAGAGATTAATATGGCAAAAAAAACAGTTTGTTTGGTGGTCAAAATGACTTGGTTTCAATGACAATAATGGGATACCCACATGCGGTCCCAATATACAATATACATATAATCATGTATATATGTATATATTGTACATAATAGTGTATGTATGTATGTATGTAATGTAATGTAATGTAACGTAATGTAATGTAATGTAATTTAGTGTAATGTAATGTGATGTGATGCAATGTAACGTAACGTAGCGTAATGTAATGTAATGTAGTGTAATGTAATGTGTGTAGTATAATGTAATGTAATGTAATGTAAAGTAATGTATTGTAATGTAATGTATAAAGTGTTGTATGAAGTAATGTAATGTAATGTAATGTAATGTAATGTATGTATATGTATATGTAAATGTATATGTATATGTATATGTAAATGTAAATGTGTGTATATATATATATATGTATATCCTATATGATAATCTAAAATCAAGTCTCCGATTAAACAGACAATTGTCATACATTGGAGACAGACCCTGTTCAACGTTGACTTGGAACATGCCGAAACAAACTGTGAGTGAAATCCTATTCGTGCGTGGTTAATGGAGGCACAGAGATCAAACATCCCTACTCAACCGCCATTTCAAGTGATGTTTCATCTGCAGAGAAAAGGAGACACATAGTAACGAACATGCACATATACATATGTGTATATAATGTAATTAAATAATACAATAATAAAACATTATTTCATAAAACAAAAAAAATCATATTAAAAACAAATAAACTAATATCAAATAATTAAAGCAATAAAACATATATATATAACATAATAATAAAATATAATAATGTATAGGATTAAACATAATCTAATTGTTAAATAAAATAAATATGTAATTTAATTTTTATACCATTGTATGATATAATTATATTATAAAAGCGTATGATCTAATTAAATAATAAAACATTTTTAAAAATATAAATTTTAAAATTACAATATAATATTATATTTTGTGATAAAATATATTTTAATATAATTTAGTAAAAATTAATATAATTAAATAATATAATTAAATAATATATTAAAATAAAATATAGTTATATATAATAAACTAAAATGTAATCTAATAAAATTAATATTATATGATATAATTTAACAAAATTTAACATAATTTAACATGATATAATATAATATAATCTAAAATATTTTAATATAGTATATTAAAATATAATATAATATAATATAATAATATAATATAATGTACCAAAATAAAATATAATACAATATAATATAATATAATATAATATAAAAAACAAGATGGAAGCCACGAACCCGAATGTATTCACGTTCTTGGACTACGAGTGCAAACCTCTGCAATAGGAAAACGAACCGATGTTTGCATGCATCGTGCGGTTCACAAAGAGACAACTAACCAGCACAACAACATCACCACAAGCACAACGAAATCACAACCAGCACAGCAATATCACCAGCGCAATGAAATCACAACAAAATCACCAACACAACAGCATCACCAGCACAGCAACATCACCAGCACAACGAGATCACCACCACCTGCCACACTCCACACTTTACCCACTGCACACTCCACACTCTACACTTTACACCCACACTCCGCACACTACACTTTACACTCCACACTCCACACTCTACACTTTACACTCTACACTTTACACTCTACACTTAACTTGACACTCTACACTTCACACTCGACACTTTCCGCTCCGCAATCCACACTCTACACTTTATACTCCAGGCTCCACACTTTACACTTTACACTCCTCACTCCACGCTCTACGCTCTACACTCCACACTCCACCACACTCAACACTCTACACCCACCACACTCCTCACTCCACACTCCACACTTTACATTCCACACGCCACACTTTACACTCCACACTCGCCACTTTCCACTCCACACTCCACACTCTACAGTTTACACTCCACACTTTACACTTTACACTCCTCACTCCACACTCAACACTTTACACTCCACACTCCTCACTCCACACACTACACTCCACACTCCACACACACGCCACACTCCACCACATTCTACACTCTACACACACCACACTCCTCACTCCATACTCCACACTTTACACTCCACACGCCATACTTTACACTCCACACTCCACACTTTACACTCCACACTTTGCACTCCACACTCTACACTACACTATACACTCCACACTCTACACTTTACACTCTTACTTTTTACAATCTACACTACACATTCCACACTCTACACGCTCTACACTCCCCACTCCACACTATACAAAGCACTTCCCAGCACCACTTTGTACTACAAAGCTCGCACAAACACGTTCCCAGTACTACTGTGTACTACAAAGCTTGCACAAAGTACTTCCCAGTACTACTGTGTACTACAAAGCTCGCACAAACTACTTCCCAGTACTATTGTGTACTACAAAGCTTGCACGAAGCACTTCCCAGTACCACTTTGTACTACAAAGATTGCACGAAACCGTTCCCAGTACTACTGTGTACTACAAAGCTCGCACAAACACGTTCCCAGTATTACTTTGTACTACAAGGTTTGCAAAGTCGTTCCCAGTACTACTGTGTACTACAAAGCTTGCAAAAACTACTTCCCAGTACTACTTTGTACTACAAGGCTTGCAAAGTCGTTCCCAGTACTACTGTGTACTACAAAGCTTGCAACAACTACTTCCCAGTACTACTTTGTACTACAAAGCTTGCACAAAGTCGTTCGCAGTACTACTTTGTACTTTGTACTACAAAGCTTGCACAAACTCGTTCCAAGTACTACTGTGTAATACAAAGCTTGCACAAGGCATTTCCCAGTACTACTGTGTACTACAAAGCTTGCACAAACTACTTCCCAGTACTACTGTGTACTACAAAGCTTGCACAAAGTCGTTCCAGTACTAATGTGTATTACAAAGCTCGAACAAACTACTTCCCAGTACTACTGTGTACTACAAAACTTGCACAAAGCACTTCCCAGTACTACTGTGTACTACAAAGCTCGCACAAACACGTTCCAGTACTAATGTGTACTACAAAGCTCGCACAAACTACTTCCCAGAACTACTGTGTAATACAAAGCTTGCACAAGGCATTTCCCAGTACTACTGTGTACTACAAAGCTTGCACAAACTACTTCCCAGTACTACTGTGTACTACAAAGCTTGCACAAAGTCGTTCCAGTACTAATGTGTACTACAAAGCTTGCACAAAGTCGTTCCCAGTACTACTGTGTACTACAAAACTTGCACAAAGCACTTCCCAGTACTACTGTGTACTACAAAGCTCGCACAAACACGTTCCAGTACTAATGTGTACTACAAAGCTTGCACAAAGTCGTTCGCAGTACTACTGTGTACTACAAAACTTG